AGTAAAATAAATAAAGACCAACACTTCCATTCTCATGTAATTTTTAGGACTGATGCTCAGACAAATCATTATTACAGTGGAAACCCACCTTTCGGCGGCTGCGACTTTCGTGAAATCTGACTTTCGGCATCTTTTCTGTCAAAATATAGCCTTGCAGTTCGTGACTGGCCTCGTGATTCGGCAATCGTCTGGTATGCGTCAGAGCGGCTTCCCAGTGTCAGCGTGCACACAAAGCAAGTCTCCCACACCATTTACACTCGGTATGCCATTGTTTATCAGCGAGTGACCATCATCACACGTGTTCATACGATACATTTTGTAATATTCCATTCTTTTTTGTGCTTCCAACTGCTAAATAAGTCACCAAGGGCCCAAAGAAAGCTCCTAGTGCCAGTCCTTTGGCAAAGAAGGAAAGAAACACAATAGAATTCAAGAAAAAACTCCTAGCAAAGTAACAAAGTGGAGGAGGAAGAGAGAGAGGGGAGAATGTGCCTTCTTCAGTGATTCTACAATATGTATGATACTAAAGCAGCAGGTATCGATAAAGGCTATAGCGCCAGCCAGCGATAAAGTGTAGCATTAACAGTGTAGCAAGTAAGTTAAGCGATTAAGCGATAGAAAAGCGACATGAAAGTAACTCTCCAATGTTGTTGGAGGTGTATAGGGCCACTGAACATACGTCACCCTGCTATCTTCCACCACCCTAAACCTCTGCCAGCATCTCCTCCATCAAACTAACTAATTAAACTAACATCTCCTCCAAGGTAAGTGTGAAGAGTGGTGGTGGCTTCTGCTGCCGCCTCCACCACCACAAATATGTACGGCTTCTCTCATTGGCCCTTATAAACCCACCACCACCACCACCTTACTCCTCACATACGTTATGACATATTTTATTCATTCTAGAGTACATATATATCTTGTTTCTACGTTATTAATATTGTCTATTATGTCATATTAGATGAATCATGATAGATAAATAAGCCGTAGAGATGATACGTATTAGCGTCATATTGAAGCATAATAAACTCACTCCCCTCTCCCCTCCTACCTGTCTTCCATACACCAACAAGTCTTCAATAACGGTAAGTATGATGTTAAATGTTCATTTATCCATTTTATTAGTGCTTTATATTTATTTGTCATTGTTTTCTGTATGTAAATCTATATTTAATCTTTAAAAAAAATAATTTTTTGTTAATACTTTTGGGCGTTTGAAACGGATTAATTGGATTTACATTATTTCTTATGGGGAAAATGGTTTCGCCAGTCATGAATTTCGCCATTCGGCAGACTCTCTGGAATAGATTAATCACAAAACTCGGGAGTCCACTGTATTACAAATTATATTATTATTACAAGTTATAATTATTACTAGTTATTATTATGATTACAAGTATTATTATTATTATTAAAATTTGTTTTTTATTAACACCCTGGCCGATTCCCACCAAGGTAGGGTGGCCCGAAAAAGAAAAACTTTCACCATCATTCACTCCATCACTGTCTTGCCAGAAGGGTGCTTTACACTACAGTTTTTAACCCGTAAATGGTCCAAGCAGATCTATGCTCACATGCGTAGTGCTCCAAAAGTAGATCTACGTTTTTTTAAATATTTTCAAATATAACACAAAAAAAAGTAGATCAAAGTTTTTTTACACGTTTTCAAATGTAAAAAAAAAAAAATCTACTTTTTTTACATACTATCAAATGTTGAAAAAACGTATATGTATGTTTGGACCATTTACGGGTTAAACTGCAACATTAACACCCCTCCTTCAGTTACAAGTTATTATTATTATAATCATAATAAAAAAGAAGCGCTATACCCACAAGGGTCGTGAATAGCTATAGACAGAGTGAAGGCATATGAAAGGAATAAATTTCTATTTAAGTTACTGGTGTTTGACTAGAGAAAATGTAATTCTTCTGACCCTCCCACCAACTGATTGGCAAACAAATCTCATATTTACGTCAATTTTTATACTATGTGTGTATGTATCATGTTTATATGTTAAGTAGCGTGTTTATTACATAATTTTGAAAAAAATACATGTATAGATGGATTAACGAAAATGTCTATATTAACGTAATATATGACAATTAATGTGCCCAAGAGATTACATGGTGTCAAAAGTAGAGAGATTCTTAATGATTTTAATGTGTACCTGCATGCCAGCACAGTGTGTAAGTATATTTAGGTACAGGTACACATAAGTATAATTATCAGAGTACGTATATATAGAATACAAAATACAGTAACTTTAAAACACATGAAATTTTGGAAATTTTCCAGACATAATAGAGAGATGTGCTCATGGAGAATGTAAACGAACCACATGTGGCGTGCCGTATTTGAAAGACCGCTCGCCCTATAGCAAATTTTGGTCATATGGAATCATCGTATCAGCGGAATGCCGTAAAGCGGGGCCCTACTGTATGTGTAACCATGTACATAGACAACTGAAACCAAACATTTACATTTGCTAAATAAACTTACTGTGTAACTTCCTCCTTGTCCAAAGAGCCAAGATTAAGAGGATCTGTAATATTCCCACCAAGAAGAAACTTAGAGGGTAAAACTCTTCCCTTTTTGCGTCGCTTATTACCAAATCGAAATTCTCCTGCAGATGAGAAGCTTATGGATCTCTTACGCTTTGGTCTGAAGTCATGATCAGCACGGGACTTTCTGAAATACAGAAAAACAAAGCAAATCTTTAAGCAATGATGGAGGTCTTCAGACCATTAGATCAACATTGGGGCCATAATCTGTTTTCTATACAGGTCAGCCATCACTAATCGAGCAATTAGTTATCCGGTTCCATCAGTAATCTGGCACTCATTTTGGCTAGCATAATTTCAAATTTCATCATTATACTGACTTAAATTTCATCATTATACTGACTCAGAAATTGTGCAGATGGTTGTAAATCCAGAAGGAAGACAGTGGAGGAGAAAACAGTGATGAAAATGAGGAATATGAGACAGAAAGAGTCTACTGATAGGTTAATTAAGGGTCTTCTAACCTAACCATTCTGTAATCCAGCAAACTCACTAATCTGGGACACTACAGGTCCCAATGATGCTGGATTAGTGATGGCCGACCTGTACTCACTTTTCCATAAAACACTACAGTTTAAATAGTACAGTCAACTTCTCAGTTCATGAACTTCATTGAAGTACACTATATCAGAATAAACTGCTACTTAAATTTTCCCTACCCATAATTTACATTAATTTTCCTGGACACATCTTTCGTAGAGCTCCTCACCTTCAATTTATATACACCATTTTTTTCCCTTGGTCTGTCTTCTATTCATATAACACTATCACATGGTTGCCACGGAAGACCAATTTCAAAATTCCCTGACCTACAGAATTACACACACGTAAAGTTGGTGGTCTGGTAAAATTTTACACATCAACAATTTTGCCTACTTTGAGTCCTATTTTAAGACAAGCCCCTTGCTCAAACTGACCCAATTCCTAGCTATTTAACCCTTTTGAGGTTGGTCCCATTGTTCTGCTTTGAAGTCAATGTCGGTCCTGTAGTAATACGCCACAAGTTCAGCTCACTCTGATAAGCTGTGAATGGTAAATCTGGGCCTAGATATTAGAGAATGGGAGTATGCAGTAAGTGTGCACCACATAAAAGTAATCCTTCAGTAAGCAGTGCATAATGGGAAAAAAACTGTGACCAAGTTTTTGGTTTAAAACAGCAACTTTGCGGTGTATTTTCGTATGGTTTTCATTGCTGTGTTCTTGGGTTCTTGATATTATTTGATAGAATAAAAGATGTATTACAGATGATTTTGATTGTTTTCAGGATGGAAAATAGCTTGAAGTTGAGCTCAGAGTAACTCAAATGTTCGATTTTTGCAGATATTCCAGAGTACACAAATGACATCCTTCATCCAATATGAATCCATCTGGCAACTCTAATACACATTTACAAAAGCACTGACATTATTTATACAACTATTATAATAATGCAGTAGTCTGCATAACAGTAAATAATTATTTTTTGTGTGAATAAAAATTCAAAAAGGAAAGCAAATGTAATATAGGAGAGGCCTGGGGACAAGTGGAACAATGGAATTAGATAAAATTGCCAATGTGTAAATATCACTGACACATCAAAATTAGTGTATGCAATTTCATCAGTTTTCCATCAAATTTTGCACTTTTTGTTTTATTACTTTCAGAAAAAGATTCCGTACCATTTCATAAGAATTTTTTTTTTTTTTTAATTTTGTGACCCTCAGAGTAAGTTTGAGAGCAGGGGTCATGACTTTGAAAGGGTTAACTAGATGCCTTCTGTTCTACTGTATGAGCATAAAAAAACTGCCCATTGAAGTATCAGAACTACCCTCTAAAATGCATAGTAATTTAGTCAATTTTACACAATATTAAAAAAATTCCAATTTAAAAACAGAGTCCAAAATAAACACTGTCAGCATTCCAGCCACTAAAGCAACCTTTCCACTCGCCCTCCATTTTCAATCCATCATCCCCCCAAAATTGAATATTTACCCTATTTTTCAGATTAATAAAATAAAACCAAGAATGATTGGTCATGGTTTAGACCAGGGGTCTCCTGCAGCAACTTGAATTATAAATAGTACAACTAACAAACCCTCATTTTCAGCCATTTTAGCTACTTAAACTTAAGGATTTTGTTGCTTGTAACAATTTATGTCAAAATTTGTTCAAATTTTAGTTTTAATCTTTTCAGTTTTCACATATACCCTTCAGTTATGAAAAGAAAAAGGAAAAGAATAGTGCAGAGTGATTGCTGCCTGTTTAATGAAGAGTGGGGCATAAAGTACTTCTTTGTACAAGCAGGTGATAAAACTTTGTGTTGTATGCCATGAAACTCTTCTAGTTTTGAAGGAGTACAACATATGTCGGTACTATAAGACCAAACATAAACAAGCTATTTCAATTCACAGGAATACAGCATTTGGAAGATTCTGAATCAATGCAACACAGGTTACTTTCCTAACAAGTTTTTTTTTATGCAGAGGAGAACTGAAAATGAAACTTTAACAAGGGCCAGTTACAAAGTAGCTTATGCATTAGCTAAAAGAGGAGAGCCACTCACCAATGGAGATCTGATCAAAGAGTGCATGATGGAAGAAGTGGGAGAGCAATGCCCAGAAAAAGCATATCTGTTCAAAATCCTCAGTCTTGCACCAAATACTGTTGCTCATAGAACTGAATACAGTGGACCCTTGAGTTTCAAACGCACAGATTATCGAACTTTTTGAGTTTCGACCGCTTTTTTCGAACTAATTTTGTTCCGAGTATCGAACTCTACCCGTCTTCTGAACCGCCGGGTACTGGACCTGTCTGCCAGCCTGCTCTGTCCGTGTCTCCGCACAGGCATCATGAGCCAGTCTGACTTTGTTGATGCTTGAGTGAACACTAACCTGCGTGCTCATTCAAACATTTCACTATTAATTCATTGTGTTTAGTGCTTGTACAACTGTGAAATAAGCTACCATGGGCCCAAAGAAACTTGCTAGTGGTACCCCTGTACCACTAGCATAGAAACATCATAGATGTGAAGAAGGAAATAATACAAAAATATGAGTGGTGTGAGACTTGTTGAGCATGCCAATATGTATGGCAAAAACAAGTCAACCATCGCTTCTATCCTGGCAAAGAAAGAACAAATCAAGGAAGCTGATGTTGTGAAAGATGTTGATATGCTAACCAAAAATAGACCACAGACAGTGGATCAGGTTGAGAAGTTGTTGCTGGTGTGGATCAAGGATAAAGAGATGGCAGGTGATAGTGTTTTGGAGACAATTATTTGTGAAAAGGCAAGGAAGCTGCATGCCGACCTGGTAAAGAAAACTCCTGGAACCAGTGAATTTAAGGCCAGCCAAGGGTGGTTTGAAAGATTTAAGAAGCATAGTGGCATACACAATGTTGTAGGGCATGGTGAGGAGCCAGTTCAGACAAACGGGTGCCTGAGAAGTTTGTACAGGAGCTTAATACCCTTTCAGGGTCCAGAGGCCAAATTTCAAAGTGCGCACCAGGGTCCAAGAATTTAAAAAAAAAAAAAAAAAAAAATGTGTTATTTTTTCTTATGAAATGGCAGAGAGGCTTTTTCTGAAGGTAATAAAACAAAAAGTACGAAATTTGATGGAAAATTGACGAAATTATGCTCTCACGAATTTTGATGTGTCAGCGATATTTACGAATCGGCGATTCTGCCGACTTTGACTCCCATTTTAGGCCAATTACATTATTCCAGTCGACCAAATTCTTAGATATTTCACTAGTATTACTTCTATTCTATCGACTGAGCACATGAAATCACCAAGTCAATTGTCTCAACTGCAAAATAAAGTGATTGGAAATTGGTAATTTGGCCAATTTAACACAAAGTTCAAAATACAGTGGACCCCCGCATAACGATTACCTCCGAATGCGACCAATTATGTAAGTGTATTTATGTAAGTGCGTTTGCACGTGTATGTTTGGGGGTCTGAAATGGACTAATCTACTTCACAATATTTCTTAAGGGAAAAAATTCGGTCAGTACTGGCACCTGAACATACTTCTGGAGTGAAAAAATATCGTTAACCGGGGGTCCACTGTATTCCAATTTCAAAATAGGGTCTAGAATAAACAATGTAGGTATTCCTGGCACTAAACTAACATTTCGTCTGTTCATTAGTTATGTTTTGAGGCTTTACAAATAAATTCCATTTTGATTTTTTATTCACATAATGAATTTTTATTCAAACCAAAAAATAGAAGATTTACTGTTATGCAATATTGTAATAATTGTATAAATATCATCACCACATTTGTGAATGTATATTAGACCCACCAGCTGGCGTGTATTAGACGTGTGAGGTCATTTGTTTACTCTTGAACATCGGCAAAAATTTAACATTTCTGCTACTGAGCTCAGTTTCAAGCCATTTCCTGTGCTAAAACCAATCAAAATCATCTCTATTTCTGTAATATGTCTTCCATTCTATCAAATGAGACCAAGAAATCGCAAATACAACTATAAAAACATACAAAAAAACATTGCAAAGTCGCTGTTTTAATAAAAAATCACGGTCTCAGTTTTTTTTCTCTCATTACACACTGTGTGCTGCAGGATTTGTTTTATGTGGTGCACACATACCACATAGATGTATTCTCTCATATCTAGGCCCAAATTTACCACTCACAGCTTATCAGAGTGAGCTGAGCTCATGGTGTAGATCTACGGTTTGAACCCTGAACGTAAAGCCGTAGATCTACAGCATGGACCCTGAAAGGGTTAAGGTGTACGTAGACACTGAAAAATTCAAACCCCAACAAGTGCTCAACTGTGACGAAACAAGCCTGTTTTGAAAGAAAATGCCAAAGAGGGCCTACATTACACAGGAGGAAAAGGCCCTCCAGGACACAAGCCTATGAAAGACAGGCTAACTCTTTTGTTCTGTGCTAACACTAGTGGTGATTTTAAAGTGAAGCCTTTACTTGTGTATCACTCAGAAAATCCCAGTGTGTTGAAGAAAAACAATGTCATTAAGAACAAGTTATGTATATTGTGGAAAGCAAATAATAAGGCATGGGTCACAAGGCAAATTTTCAAAGAGTGGGTCCATGAAGTGTTTGTCCCCAGTGTGATAAAATACCTCCTAGAAAACAATTTGCCACTCAAGTGCCTCCTGT